AGCAGGGGCCTCACACATCTCAACACCCAGTGTGGGGCTCGCCAGCTTGCTCAGCAACCTCCCATAAGTATAGAGGGTGTCTATGAAACTGTGGGCCCTATAGATCTGGACATAGCAGCTTTTGGGCCCCTTGCCTTCCCACTCCAGTGTCCTCACAGTGGTGAGGATGCTGTCAAAATCTCCTCAGAGGTGCAAGGCAAGCTGTAACTTGCTGGAAGACAGATGGGTGTAGTCGCGGTCAAGAAATGCAAGTAGCTCACCCCTGGGGACTGCTGGAACTGAGAGGTCTGCAGACTCCATGAAGCCTGCTGGTTCTTGGGCATCCTCCTCCTGATCCTGGGGCTCAGCAGGCTCCTTAGGCACCATCTGAACCCCCTGGTCCGCTAAGAACCCCGACTGTGGTTGGGATTGGGAGAGCTCTGCAGCCCCTTGGTACAGGGGTGAGCCTAAGGGTGGGGGTGGGGTTCCTTCACAACATGGTGGGGTAGAGCTGGACCCCCGGGGAGCTCTGTGCTGGGTCCCCAACAAGATCAGCCTGTTGATTAGGGGACCCCAACACAACCCCCTCTGGTGCAGGACAATCGGGCAGGCTGGATGTGAGGTTTTTTCTGGGAGGGGGAGGGAAGAGACCTAGCAGGCACCGGCATGGCTTTGGTATCCAGGGCTGCCTGCAGGTTAAGACCAGAATTTTCCAGGCACAGCCTGCTGACAGGGTAGGGGTTAAAAGCTGAGCCTGGCCAGCTAGTCAGGTGACCAGAAGGGGGCAAGCTAGAACTGTAAAAACCCTGGGCTTGGTATAGTTAGGGGCAGTAGCCAAAAGGGAAGGAGGCTGTGTATAAGAGTTCCACAGAGAGGCTTGGGTGCTTGTCTGGCTGCTGTGAGGGGGGAACTCCTGATGACTCTCAGAGAAGTGGAAGCAGCCCCACAAGAAGAAGTGTCATGGATGGTGGGAAGTAGAAGCACAGAGTCATGGAAAAAATGTAAGCTGGCATGCTGCCTTCTTTAATTTTTATTTTTTTGTGGTTACAGTCCATGGACTTACTGTTTATATTTTTTTTTGATTGGTGGTTTGTGGTCAAGGCTGTAGGGGAGGAGAAGACCTCATTAGTGCCTTGGGCACAGTCATAAAAGGCCAAGGGCCTAGTGCACTAATGTGTGCAACTGTATAGGACCAGTAGCTCAGAGCTGGTTGCAGGACTCTTAAGCTGGGTCCCAGTGGGGGGATCTTGGCTAGTAGCTTGAGCTAAAAGAAAGGGCACCCTTGGGCAGTAGGAGCTCTAGGCCACTCCAAAGAAACCATGTGCTAATTCCTCTCTCTTCTCCCCTCCCCCAATCATGACTGGAACCAGGTGTTTTTTCACTTCAGGACTCTTCTCCATGGCATGGGTACCACATAGGTTGAGAAAGCGTGCACTGCAGGGTGAAAACAATGACACAAGTCCTGGGATGTTGCAAAAATGTATATGCAGGTGAGACCTAGGGCCAACCATGCAATGGGGTGAGAGAGTGGGTAACAAAGGGATTCTGGGTGAACTGTTTGGGGCCCCATTTGTTGATGTTTGTTTATCAGACATTTAAGGTAAAGAAACAGAAATCACTGGAAATGAGAGAGAAAAGCATAGTTCAGCTTCCGGGAGTGAAGAGGAAGTCAAAATGTATGCAATGTAGTGGCTTACTGCTACTTGAGAAGGAATCGGTGCTGAAGTGAACCATCCTCAATGGGCACTACCACATCTGATTCAGATGGGTTGCACTAACTTTGCTTTGTGGTAGGTTCCCATTAGTGTGGTTGCCCATTATGGGCTATGTGGTTTTGTTTTTTGGGTTGTTTTTTTTTAATAATCGTGTTCAGTGTTGAATGAATTTAATCTACTTCATAGTTGGTTTCCATGACTCAACACATGCTGCCTTTTGCAGCCATTTAATGATAAACAATGTATTTCCTTGAATGCAAGATGAGTCTCCCCTCCCCACCTCAATCCACATGGGGAAGAAGCTCCTCATCTTGTATTCAAGTAAATATGGTAATAATAAGATATCTGTTTATATCCTTTCAGGAATACAACACATCATTTCAGCACAGACACATGGAGGAAGACTCCTATATCCAGTTTTGAAAAAGTGAGAGTTACTTCAACCAAGCACAATTATTTTCACAATTTGTCTGCTGGAGTACAGTTGCCTACATGCAGGAAATGAATTAGAAAAGACAACTCTACTTGGTTTAAAAAATAATAGTTTAGCAAAGAACCACAAACCATTTATTTTTACAACCTGTAAGACAGACGTAGTGCTGGCTTGACCAGCCAGCTTCAATAAAAGCTCTCATCCCAAGATAAAGGAAACCATTTAGCAGCCATTTGAAATGACCATAAGGTACCATCAAATCTTCTCTGATAGGCACTGTTGTGTATTAAATCCCTTTGCTTGTTTTGTTAATCAAAACTATCATCCATTAGGATCAGATCAAGAAATCTGGAGTGTTCTAAAAAACTGTCCAGCAATAGTTTAGACCTGAGCTAAAATGGGCACCTTACTGAATACCTCATACTCTTCATCATGATTCACCACCCCCCCATTATTTGGACTAAGATACCTACATTACATGTAGGGGGTGTTTCTTCCTTTTAAAGCAGCCAAACAGCACAACTTATAATATAGGGTGATAATACTTGGCTTCTGCATACTCAGCTCCTAAATAAAGGACATTAGCTATCACTATATCCATTTTTTCTGATGGGAGAGCTCAAGTTGAGAGAGTCAAAGTGTTACCCAAGATAGCTCAATGTGCTAATAGCAGAGATTGTCCTTTCACAATATCCCTGCTGGTTACCTGTTTACTAAGCCTTTTGAAGAGTGCTTAAAGCCTACTTTATAGAAGCAGACTTGAAATGCCACAGTAAGAAATAATGAAACTCTTGAAAAAACACCTGTGAAAGCCATGACCACACATATTCCAAGTGATGTGAGGGATATGAAGCCAGAAGTTAAAAGAACAGGGTAGGAAGATATGTATAGGGGGCAGGAATAGAGACCAAAATGCGCCCTACTCCCTTGAACCACATATTTCAAAATCTATCTTACTCTCCAGAGAGTGATAAATTAGTCACTTCTTTGGTATTTGCCTTTATTCTTACTGACCCCAGTTCTAATGTCCTTTACTCACTTTTTTTCTTAATTTTTCTTCAGGCAAACTTGTCTAGATTCCCACAATTTGTAGCACGACAATTCAGATGATATTTCTGATGAAGCCAGGTCTATAATTTGTCCATCCCACCAAAGGGCGAGTGTGTGTTCTGTTCACTACCAATATAAACTACACTGCTTGCCGAACACCACAGAACTTTGATCAACTCCACCTCTGGCTTTTTGAATGTCTGTTTTCTGTCTCTGTCTCTGTCTCGACACTACACCAACCCCTGCATTATAGCCTCCCCCTGTTAAAAGCAACTGACCTCAATTAATATGTTTCTTTTTGGTCAATCTTGTTTTGACCATCTAACTGTAGCTTCCTTGACAACTGTCAGATTGCAGTCCCAGTTGGCTAACTGTACTCCTCTTTAATCAAAAATTACTTCCTTCCTTCTCCTTTTCTGCAGTAGTCTTCAGCTCTCTCCTTACCAATGAGAGAGGGTAATGAGCAGCTGTTTCCCTAGTGATATACTGTATCGCCTCGGGCAATTCACTTCATCAACACTCCCATCTGCAAAACCAGTGCCTGCCTTGTAATGATGTGGTAACACTGAATTAGTTACAGTGTTTCTGAACAAGTATGTTGTTATAAATCCTATCTGGTTTTATTATATGTATTAAACAGGTGCCAATATCCTATGGCAGCGTTTCCCACACTGACAGACTGTGCACCACCAATTTAAAATGATACAACCTTAAGTACTACCAGCAAACTTTTCAGTTCAACCTTAAGTACCACCAGCACATTTTTGTCATATAAAGTAATTCTAATAAATCTGTTAAGGCATATCACTGACTGGTTGTCTGCATACCACAGATGGGAAACCACTGTCCTAGGGGGTTCAGCTCAGCAATGTGACAAGTAGATTTTTTTCCAGACTTGTATTTCAAAATGCTGCAAATTTTACCCTCAAAACACTCATTTGGAAACCAACAAAGTTCTCAAGTGCGCACTGCAGCCACTTCGAACCCTGTGAGTCTTATTTCCAGGCATTCCAAATTCTCCCCCCGGAAGTGTTACAGTTTTAATGGGTTACTGAGAACCAAAGTGCTTGCTTTTTAACCCATGAGACAGAAAGAGGAAACCTCAGGAGATAACAATGATATCCCCCAAAATGGAAGAAGTGAATTTTCCTATAACACTAACCTACTTTCAAGCACAAAGATGGAGCGTTTATAAAAGGACAGAGAGCCAGCTTATTCCCGCAGCTACACTGGTGTACATGGAGTTATTCTGGAGCTAGGCTGGTGCAGATCTGAGAACCGAAATGGGCCCAGTATCGTTACACAGTTGCTGCTTCAAAAATCTCTAAATATTCCTGTCAATTTGAAATCCTACATCAAAGACTAGAAAGAAGCCAGAAAGATGGAAATGTGGTCACACAGTAGGAGGAAAGGAGAGAGGATGCCTCTGTTGTGCATCTAACATAAGGGATACCTAAAATAGCAGCATTTGTGCATACAGTTCCATAAGGGTGGTATCAAGTTGCTTCCCCACACATTCAATTGGCCAAAATGTGAGTAAAAAGCAGGTGGAGCCATGGCCCAGCTTCCTGTCCATCTGTAATACTCCAGGATGCTTCTCTTCCCCTCTCTGGGACAGGCTGCTTCTCAGTGCTTTCATTGTGTTCATCTGTCCTGGTCCTTACAATAGGCTGAAACTCACCATATAATCTGTTATGTAATTTTCAAACATCCCCTGTACTTCATGAAGCAAAACAAACTTCAGAAAGATCACTTTATTTTTAAATATTAAATACTATGGACTCATAATACTTCCCTACCTCACAAGGGTATCGACACAAGCTTACAGATAGGCAAAATTAGGCACTACTTACAGACATTAAAAAAAAACCCAAACCCCAAAACAGTGCTTTAACTTTAAATTCAATGCACCCCTGTGCCAAGCCCAGAGCAATAGCTGATTTTATCTAATAGCTGACACTGCAGCTCTAGATCAAAATAATGTGCTGCCTCTTCCATTAAAGTGTGGTCCCCCTCCCCACCAAGTCTGTCAACAACCATATAAAAGTCAAGTGATATGCTGAAGGTCTCATTATGAGTCCACGGCTAAGTCCAGAAAAATACCCAAGAAGTCCTGATTACATGTTCCTTCTTCAGATGCTAGCAAAGGCTACTGCCTTGTGGCATAACAGAATAACATTTTTCACTTATATAGTATTTTCCTCTGAGCATCAGGCATACACCAATCAAGTCTACCTCATCTGTAAGATTAATGAAGGTTTTTGGTTTGAAGGCAGGTTTTCCAGCTTCCATCTATTCTGGTGCAACGTAGCAGAACGGCCAAGAAGGTTCTTTTTGCCAAGAACATAATTCTAAGTGTACAGACAGACAAATAAATTACACTGAGTTAAAAGGTAGAAATGGAATCTTCTGTGTATCTGCTGCTTCATGATAACCAAGTGAAGTAAAACACACACAATCTGTGTTTGCCCCTATTCTTCAGTAAAATTAAAAAAAAAAAAAAAATTAGGGCAAATAACCCTGAATGACACATGGATAAATGATCACATGCTAGATTCTAGTCACCATGGAATAGGAATGGATACATGAAATGTAACCATGTAGTAGTAGATGCCTGGTAAATTTTCCTTATTTTAACTCAGCATTGTTTGTTCATTTGTCTTCCCATATTTTAAGGGTCTGGAAACAGACAAAAGCCAAAATGTTCAAGAAAAGGGAATATTTACTAAGTAGAATTATTCTTTTAGTAAAATACATAGGGATCTATCACTGACAACAGAAAAGCATTTGCTGCTTTTTATCTGAGAACTGTAACAGAAAGAAGGTGCATATTCCCCTCCCCCCCTTTTTTTTCTACTTCCCTGAATTGGTGTACATCTACACTGTTGCATGCTTGTGAATGGAATGTATTTTTCACTTCTACAGGAACAGACGGTCAATCAAAGAGATGATGTGCCCAATAGATGAATGGCCATATAGACTAGAATAATTACAGTGTTAATACAGAGTCATATATTCTTTCAATTGCAGTTACTTGGCTGACACATAAGGACTGTGTGTCTGTGAGACATACAATATTTGAAGCTTCCTCCAATTAGTTTAGGTTGAATGGTCATTGTACCTGTACGTGGCAGTTGGTCAGCCTTGGTAATTGTCTATCTGGTTTATAACTTTATACAGAAAATGAGAGTTAGGAAAATAATAATGAAGGCAGAAATATGGGACATGCATCCCATCACTGTGTATCATTAGCATACATTTTGCATATATGTACATGTACATTAATTCCTGTCATTCAAAGAGCAGCACATATCTGGAAGACCTTGTTACATAGTGAAAGTGCAGCTGGAAAAGCTCCATCATTGAGATGTTGAGAAACTGTGGCAATGAATGCCACAAAACTATAACAAACATAAATATGTTCATTCATGAGGAAGGATAGTCTTGTAGTGAAGACACAGGATGATGAGTCAGGAGGTTTGGAGAATTAAGCCCCTCTCTACTATTTCCCATATTAGCCAGAGCAAGTCATTACGGCTAGGATTTTTCATTTACTTTCAATGTGATTTGTTCCTAACTCCCTTAGGACCCCTTGAAAATCTGTGGCCCAGTTCCTCCATCTGTTGAGAAATGTAAGGTACTAAATACACCAAGTTTTATTTAAATGGCATACTTCCCTGCCTTTTGCTTACTGCAATACAATGCTAGTCTGAAATCATTGGAGCAAAACCCCTACAGAAATGCAAAGTATGAAATGCTTGTTTTTCTTGAATTAAGCATAGTTTAACGATGGACAAATAATTCACTTGCAAATGTTTTAACTTACAATAAAAACCATAAAGTTCACATTATACATTAGAAATATCATTAGCAGCAATTGAGTGGTATTATTTCCATAATATTTCTGTTCCCTTTTCCTCCTCTTGCTGTTTACTGGAGCACGGTAAAAGTTCAAAAGTTAATTAAGAGCTTAACACCCATTTTCAAAAATTACGTTGGCACGTAGCAGCTTGGAACTGACTGAAAGCCAGCAGGACTCAAGTGCTTTGGACAACTTTATGCTAGATTCTTTGCCTTGCTTTGCCTGCTGTATGTTGCAATGGAGACCCAACCAGCTCTACATTCCTCCCAGAATCACCTGGTTGCATGTAGTCACCACCCTGGTTCTAACACCATTTCAGGGGTCCTTGGCAGCTGGTAGACCCCATGTGGAAGCTGTCCACAGATAATTAACATATTAGTGTGACCTTGTCTAATTTTCACTGGGGGGGGATGGACCAGGACACACTAACCACAGGAGTTTACAACCTCAAAAGTGAGGTTCCTTTCTCCCAAATATTGTGTCAAGGTCCGACAGAAGTATCTGGTACAATATTGTGTTAGGGCCATTCCTTCTAAAAGCTATTACAGTGTAGCTATCTAACTAATGAAGATTTTTCCCCACTTTATATATACATAAAT